GCTGCTATAGGCTTAGACTACTAGAGGACAAATTGACCTCATTTCTAAAAATGAATTGTTAAAAATGAATAGTTTCCATTTGATACTGAAAAAGGTTGTAAACTCAATCACCCAGGTAGATAACAACAAAAAAGGTTAAATCGTGTCATCTGGACCAGGTTCTTTGAGAAATGTTTCAACCCCATCCAGAGGACTTCCTCAGTCTACAGCCTGCAGACCAGATCTGTCCCATAGGTAGCCTTCACTGCTGTGTTTCAAGCCAACTTCCTGTTGGAATCTCAAAAGAAAACTTTTAACACGTGCAAAACAGTCGATCATCATGTGCAACAATCAAATGTTTTAGGCCAGATGACCAACTTGCTACTCACAGAAACCGCCCGAGGACACCAAGACCAAAGTTGTTCAGAAAAAGGGTTGTAAGATCAATCATCCATGGGACAGATCTGGTTGGCAGACCGTAGACTGAGGAAGTCCTCTGGATTGGGGACGAAACTTTTCTCTCAAAGAAATTGGTCCAGATGACACGATTTAACCTTTTTCTATCTAAACGCGATTCTGGACCTGCCATTGTGTATCTGTTCCTCTCAAACCCAGCTGGTTGAAGCAGATGGCCTTTTGTCCTGAGCCTGGTTCTGCTAAATGTTTCTTCCTCATGAGGGAGTTTTTCCTTTCCACTGTCGCCTTCATGCTTGCTCAAGATGAGTCTGTAATGGAGTTAAATTCAAAGCATTCTGCTCCTCAGATAATTAATGTTATTAACTTATATTTAATATATAAAATGTTTCTGTTCAGTCCCTGAGGCGACTTCTGTTGTGACTTGGCGCTATGTAAATAAACTGAATTGAATTTACAGCCCCCATCTTCACAGAGACTTTCATCCAAACTTGTTTTTAAGCTTCTTTTGAATCAAACCATAAAGTGAACCAATCTGATCGTTTTGGTAGCTAATGAGCGAGCGGCGTTAATAATTTAAACCATAAAAGCCGTCGGGTCAGCCGACATGTGCAGCACAGACAGATCCAGGCGGCGGTTTGTTTTTCCGCCTGTATTCTCGTTACGTCAGATTAAATCGTTGCTAAAAAAGACTCGTTGATGTTTCAGTCCTTCAGAGGGAGTCGTGTGTTTAATAGAGGAACAGCTGTGAGGAAACCTGATGCAGGAGCCACACACAGGCCTCGATAAAACGACACAAACTTGACGAGCCGCAGAAAGAAACTGGGGGAGGTGAAGATGAGGTGCTGGAGAGTAAAAACATTCGTGGAAGGCGTTTCCAGATGTGGAGTCAACAGAATGAGAACGATGCAGCTGGGTGTATTTTTGTCTCTGCTCTGAGACTCGGTCAGGAATATCAATGGAAGCTCGAAGTAACGACACGGCGGAAGATGGATGGAGGGACGGAGAGCTGGACGACAGATGGAGCTGAAAGAGGCAGATGAGGGAAACTGATAATAATGTGCGAGGACGGAGAGAAAGACTCGGCCCAATAACTGGGAAGCTGTGGGAGGACGGGGACAGAGTCTAATGACGTCACCTGCAGGAGGACAAGGTCCGCTCGGCTCATCTGCTGCAGGAAACTGGAGTTTCCAGCTCGACACAAGTCTGGAAACATTTTATATCCTCCGGTCGAGCTTCACGTCCTCCTTCCTGACGCTCCTCCTCTGTTTGATATCAGAGAGCAGCTGTCTGCGTCCAGGCGCTGAAGAGACGACGGGGGAAATGACAGCATTCACCGACGGTTCTTCCGGGACGCCGCCGTTGAAGCTGGTTTTAGACCAGAATCTTGGATTTGGGTCCAGTTTTTACAGCAACTTAAAATGATCAGGTGCAGACGTGTCCAATCTGTTCGGTGGGTCAGGAGATATTTTGCTAACAAAGTTGACGCCGGCAGAATCTAAGAATCTTTCTCAGCTACCACCACATCTTCAATGCTGGCCTGTTTCTGTGTCTTTAAGTTCAGTTGGCTGTGGCGGCCATCTTGAATCGGGTTGACGGTGATTCATGACGTGTTTTGCTCAATCTGTTTATAAAGCTCATAAAAACAACAGAAGAGGAATGAAGTGCTGTAGAGTCCATCCATCCATCCATCATCATCATCATCTCATTCTGAAGTCTGGTCATGGGGCAGCAGCTTGAGCAGGGAGGTCCAGACATCTCTTTCCACAGCCAGCTCTTCTGGGAGGACTCCAAGGCGCTCCCAGGCCAACCGAGCATGTTCTGGGTCTTCCCCGGGGGTCTCCTCCCAGTTGGACATGCCTGAAGAACCTCCCTGAGGAGGAGCCCAGGAAGCATACTTACCAGATGTCTGAACCACCTCAGCTGGCTCCTCTCGATGTGGAGGAGCAGCGGTTCTACTCAGAGTCTCCCAGATAACTGAACTTCTCCCTCTATCTCTACGGGAGAGTCCAGCTACCCTGCGGAGGAAACTCATGTCAACGTCTGGATCCACGATCTCATCTTTAGGGTAGGAACTTAGACCGACCAGTAAACAAAGAGCTCAGCTCTCTCTTCACCACATCGGACCGGCACAATGTAATACTACAGACGCTTCAGCGACCCATCCATCAGTCTCGCACTCCATTCTTCTGTCACTCGTGAACAAAACCCAGAAATACTTGACCTCCTCCACTTGAGACAGAACATCACCCTCGACCTGAAGAGAACTTTACAGTTCAGTCAAATGAAAATGTAAAAGTGTAAGAACAAGGAAACGCAAAGTTAAAATAAAATACAGAGGAGATGATAAAAACCAGCAGCTCGAATCAAACACCAGCATGAGTGGAGTCTCAGACCTTGAGTTCTGTGTATGTGACTGCAGTGATCACCTCAGTTTTAGTTTGGACCTCGGAACATCTCAGAGGATCAGTTCTCTGACTGGATGCATCTCTCAGATACGTCGGGGCGACACACGACAAACAGTCGTATGTTTTTGTGTTCTGAATGGAGATGGAGTTGAAGGTTTGAGTCGTCCAGCTCTCAAACTCTTCTGATTAGAACCAGCTCGACAGGATCTCCAGCTGAGAGCTAATCTGCCACTGGTTTGATTGGTTTCCAGCGTTCTGAACTCGCTCTGCTGCAGATGTGCGGCAGCCTCCCTGCAGACACACGAAGCATCAAACCAGCTGTCAGACGCCAGATTTACTCTCAGTCCAGGGAACAACCCTTCAGGTGCATTACACAGATCTTTAGTCGTGTTTAAGCTGCAGGAACTTTAAAACATTTAAACACTTTTTAAACCTGATCTTTTCAGGCCACAGACCCAGACCGTCTGTACAGTAGTCCCTCGTTTATTGTGGGGGATCCGTACCCTGAAGGCCCGCGATAAGTGAAAAACCACCCAGTAGGAATAGTACAAGTAGTAAGTAGTAGTTTATAATGTCGGGATTTCCCTCTGTGCCTCCACTGCTCTCAACCACCTGCAAGCGCTCTTGGCCACGCCCACTTCTCCATTCTGCACACAGATCAGCTGTTCAGCTGCAGGAGGAAGCTTTTTCTGCAGCTCAGGTGCTAAATAATTTATCTTAAATAAAAAAATCCTGTGCTGATCGTGCGACTCGTCCATCAATCAGCCAATTGTGTGTCATGTCCAATCTTATTTTGAAAAACCGCGATAGAGCGAGGGACTGCTGTATTCTGGTTATTGAAGGAACTCTGCGCAACATCTGGAGAAAAGAACTAAACTTTGGAAGCTGTATCAGCTACGATTGTGTTTCTGCCTGATGTTAATATGAAAAGCAAATGAGGGGGCGCAGAGGTGAGGGAAGGCGAGCCTGTGATCAGAAGGTCGCCGGTTGGATCTCACGGACAGACGTCAAAAATGTGGGTGGAAAGGTGCTTCCACCCTCGTTTCCCTGCTCTGGGCCCTTGAGCAAGGCCCTTAACCCCCACCACCCTATAGCAGCTCTCTGCTCCACACAGAGGGCTGTGGTAGCTCAGTGGTTGTCAGGAAGGGCATCTAGTGTAAAAACAATCACCAAGTCTTCGTGCAAGTTATTTCTCTGTGGCGACCCCTGAAGAAGGGAGCAGCCGAAAGAAGAAAAATAAAACGTGATATTGTGATTTTTGGAGGCCACGAATCTGCTCGTGTATCGTTGCTCTGTTTTCTCGGCGACCTTTTGTGTCTCGTTTGTTAAAAGAAAAAGAAAAAGGATAAAAGAATTTAGATTTTTGCCGTAAATTTAATGAAAACTAATTCATAAAGACGACGTCCTGGTAACTACAACAGCGTATAATCGTTTTAAATTACCTTTAAACGTTTTCTAACGGGTACAGAAATAATCCTTTGTCTTGCATCCTTTTGCTCTGGGAAATCCCTTTGTATAATGCTCATCCTCACCACGACGTTTGGAGGATGTAGTTCGATATGGTAGACGTCCTGAAACTTTCTCTTCTCCCGCCTGTAACTTCTAAAATAACTGAACGAAACTTGATGCACCGACAAGCCGGAGCGGCACGCTCCAAGGTCGCACTTCAAGGTCAAAGGTTAAACCTTTGTCTGTTTCCAAATGAACTAAAAAATAAACATCATGGTTTACTTTGCACACCCACCTCTACCTTAATGTATTTAAATTTAAAACTCTGCACAAACACATTTTTTTATCAGTAATTTACACGAGCAGCATCTTAACTAAACCGTACGGGGAAAATAAAAGCAGCTCTGATTCATGAAAAAAAGGACCGCAGTCGTTTTATTTACCGAAGTCGCAGCTTGCTCGATTAGAACGCCTCACGAGTCTCGTGCAAATTAAAGTGGACTGCAGCGTTTTCTGGCTGTAGAAGTGAATTTTATCAGCGTGAGGAAAAACTTGAAACAAAATCCAACCGGACAAAAGACGCTGCTGCGTCATTAGAAGTTTCTGCACGGAGACGCTCTCGCTGCGTCGACTGCAGCCCCGTTTTAATGCTTCAGTGAACTTTGCACCGCCATATTAATTCAAACTCTCTAACATAATCCAACCCCCCCCCCCCATTGATCTTCCTCCGCCCTGCGGATGTTACTGCAGGTGGAGCTGGAACGAGGGAAGATCCTCCACATCAAGGCCCTGGCTCTGGGGGACCTGAACAAGGCCGGTCAGAGAGAGGTCTTCTTCGAGCTGAACGGCCAGCTGAGATCAGTTCTGGTTAAAGACACCGTGGCCATGAAGGTACTGGGAAAACATGGAGGGAGGGGGCTGGTTGAGTCTAGACCAGATCTCTGCAGCACGTCGAGTCTGATGCCTGTTTTTAACTTTAAAGTGTTCGTGGAGGACGGCTGATTTTATTCCCTTTTCCAGGAAATGAAGTTCCATCCCAAGGCTCAGAAGTCCATCAAGGGTCAGGTGGGGGCGCCGATGCCCGGAAAAGTCCTGGAGGTCAAAGTCAAAGTTGGCTCCAAGGTCAGTTTGATGATGTCAGACAAGGATTCGTGTTGCATTTGGGTGAAATTTGGATCATTTCCTCTTTAATGGTTTCCAAACGGTGATAAAAGTTCAGATTTACAGAATAATATAATTGTATTTTCAATCAATGACTAATGATATATGTGAAAGGTTTCTGAACAATTAATATCTTACCTGTTGCAGATGGCATTTTCGACAACCTCAGTTTGTAGAGACAGTTTTTTTAATGGGATTTGAGCGAATGGGTCATCACCTCCCGACACCTGTTTTGTTTAATGTTCTTAATGGAGCTGGACCTCAAACAATTAATTCTGAAAAGTAAAATTTTTAATAAAAAAAGAAGCAAATGCCTTGATTAAGGAACAAGAGCTAATTTGAACAGATCAAATGATTACGGTTAAGATAATGTTTTGGTGTCCTGTGATTAAAACAAAGGGAGCACCAAAAAACAAAACATGTTTGTCAATAATTGTTCAATCTTAACTTTATTCATTAATTTAAAAGCGGTCTCAACCGTCACTGTGATACAGGCCTGTGGCCAGATGTTTAGGTGAGGAAACTAATCCACCACAGGTCCCAAAGTCCTGCAGCTGACAGACCAGAGGTTTGAGATGCCTTCGGCTACTAACTTGGGATCTTCATGTTCCTTAAGTTCCACCGGTCCAGTGGATCAGCGTAGAAGGTGATGCACAAAAGTTGAGCTCACCTCTGACCACACTTTCCATTGTTTTATCCTTTCAAAATAAAAAATAAAAACGATAGAAAAAAGATGCTGGGATGCTCAGGTCTCTGTAAAGATGTAACAAGTTTAGTTGTAATTTCAGTGCTAGCATAAAAGCGTTTTAACCTGACGCTAATGCTAACTGTGCTATTCGTACCATTAGCGGTAGTCGGTTTTAAAGCTAAGTTATAAAAGTGGTTTGTCATGTCAAAAATCAGACCAAATGGAAAAGTACTGTGTTGTCTACAAATCTACAAATTAATCTAAAGGAATAACTGTGCGTGGACAAACTGACTGCAGTGTAAATCTTTATAAAACGGCAGCAGGACTAGCCATTAGCTCATCAATCAAATCAGAATTGAAATTGTCCAAAAAAAAAAGAAAAAAAAACCTATCGACCGCAGGTAAGATATTGACTGCTTTAAGTTTCTCCACTGAAACGTACCTCAAAAGATCCGAGCGACTTAATTCTTACATGTTGGCATGAAAGTGTTGAAATGGATCCGACTTCCTGTTGAGGCTGCAGCTCGTCTCTGATTGGCTGTTTTCAACCCTCTGATCCCCCCGCAGGTGGAGAAGGGTCAGCCTCTCTGCGTCCTCTCAGCCATGAAGATGGAGACGGTGGTCAACTCCCCGATGAGCGGGACCATCAAGGCCATCCACGTGGAGCCCGACTCCTCCCTGGAGGGAGACGACCTGATACTGGAAATCGAAGAGTGAAGTGAGAAGATGGTGGGGGGGTGGGGGGGAGGAGCCTCCAGTTTGTACATAATGTTTAGTCACAACAGATACACGATGGAGTTTTATGCATATCTTGACATTAACATGGGGTCAAACCTTCTGGTTTTAGGTGTGGGGGGGTTGAGCTGAAGATCTGTGTCGTTATTAACGTTTCAACAACTTAGATCAGTTTAAACCACAAAACATTCCACTGCAGAGTCTTAACCAGGGTTAGTATTAATAACGCATTAACTTCTAGATGTTACGTTCGTAATTTAGCGCAACACGCGAGGACGTTTTATCAACTTGTGTCCGTCTCGCTCGTCTCTACAAGACTTACCGTTTCATTCTTTGTCACGTTGCATTCTGGGAATGTGTAACTGCTGCCATTTAAACTCGCGTCGTTCAGCAAGAAACAAACGATTCATGCGAGGAGTTTAAGGAAATGAATCGCAGCGTTTGCACTAAACCTCCGGACTCGTATGTTCTGTTACTGTATCAGTAATGACGTGTTGTACCTTCCCTTCAAAACTCTCAAACGGGTCGTTTCAGAACCACTTGGGCCTCGTCTGTTGTATCGTTCTAGACGTCTCTGCTTCCACAGCCGGCCAGAGATCACACGGTGCTGCAGCGAGAGTCACGTGGGTTTCTCCTGCCATTTATAAGTTACTTCTGTCAAAAGATGATCAGCTCGACTGAGATTGGACCCCGGAGGCTCCCAGAAGCAGCTTTAGATTTCTAGTCTTAACTGAACCAATCCAACAAAGCACATCTCCCGACATGAAGTATACATCCTCACCTGTGTACTTGTACTAAATATTCTTACTAACTTTGAATTGCTTCATACAAAATCGAGTTAATGTGGTGAAAGTTTGATTTGTTGAGCGTCAAACTAAATGAACGAGGCTTGAATGCAGTTCATCCAACAGTGTTACTGATTAAAAGTTTACTTCCTGTAAAGCACAACGTCTTTTAAATCAGTGGTTCCCAACCCTGGGCCTTGAGGAACACCATCCTGCATGTTTTAGTTGTTCCTCTGCTCCAACACCTGATTTGAATAAATGGTTGATTAACAGGCCTCTGCAGAACTTGAAGTAGTCAAATTACGAATTCAGTATGGTGTTCCTCAAGGACCAGTGTTTGGAACCACTGTTTTCAATGTTATATTTCTGAAAATATCGGTACCTCTTCAGCAAAGTTTGACAAAATATACAAGTTGCTGAAGCAGCAAGTTTTGCCTCATGAACTTTGAGGTTTCCCTGCGCTGTGATTACAACAACGTCCATCGATGACGAATGAGCATTTCTGTAAAATTTTTCCTCCTCGCCTCGTCTATCCGACCTCTGAACATGTATTTGCACAAACGACGTGACGCCATCATTTAATGCAATAATGTCAACTGTATCGTACTGACTGTGACTGACAGCCATGCTTGTAACGATGTACTCATTCATGTCTGTGGAAGAAGCACAAAAAAATAAAGAAAATAAACAAACCGCTTCAAGTTTTTGTTTCAATATTGGCAATTATTATTTTTTTTTTTCCAATTAAATTCTCAAATGTTGAGGGGCAGATTGTCAAACAAAGGGACCAGCTGCTTTTGGTCTGATGATCTCGGCACCCGAGAAACATGTGATTGAAGTAGGTCAGAGGGTGCAAGGCAATTAAGGCACTTAAAGATCAACAGGAGAATTGAAAAACTGGTGACGTGCTCAAACCTACGAGTTAAGAGCCGAGCTGCAGCATTTTAGACGAGGTGGAGACGTGAAAGAGAAACCTGACCGACCCCAACATAAAAACATGTTATAGTAGTCCAGCCGGGTTGCAAAGACTATTTTTTTCTAGGTCAGATCTGGTCAACGTGGACTTAAGCTTAGCTATCTGCCTTAACTGGAATAAGTTATTTAGTAGAACAGAGAGTTAATCTGTTTATTAAACATAAAGTCAGAGTCTAAAACCATCCTGAGATTTGTAACAGACTGCTTAAGCTATGGCTCAAGAAAGTCACGGTTTACAGGAACAGAGACCGCAGTAGAGCTAGTGCTAAACATGACGACTTCAGTTTTCTGATCTTTGAAGCTTAAAAAGTTTAAAGCCATCCATTCCTTAATGTCATGAACACGTTTTAACAGGGTGAATGGAGCAAGAACTGTTGAGTTTTAAGGACAGATGAATCTGACATTCATCAGCACAGCATGAAAGACCACGTTTCCTCAGGATAGACCCCAAGGGGAGCAGATATGGAAGGGGTTCAAGAATCGAGCCCTGTGGGACCCCGCATGAAAGAAACACTGAAGCAGATAAACTGTAAGGAGGACAGAAGATTGAAGAGGAAACGGCTAAAAGAAGTAATTATCAGGTTGTACTACTAAGGATAATGAGTTGTCATAGAGCATGACCATTAGACAAATCTGCTTTTCAGAATCACAGCTGTAATGTCGGGTCAGGTCCCAGGTACACATTCTGACTTAGGAGGTAAATGAAACTGAGGTCGTTCAAAGATATGAATTTACCACACAGACCTACTTCGAAACATCTGAAGCGTTCCTTTAAGCTTTGACCACTGCCAGATAGTGACATCACCGTGGCGTTTCTTTTTTTAGCTGCTCTGTGCCTCAAATTAGGTCAAAGACCTTTGATGAGGTCTCAGCAACAGAAGAAAAAGCAAATGTTTTCATCTTCCCGGGTCCTGGGGTTACATCGTAAATTTTTCATTTGGATTCCGGGCTAAATGTCTCCCAGCTCCGGACTCTAAATGAGTGCCAGAGTTCAAGTCCTGTGTGTGGTTTTCATTCAGTTTATCCCTTTGTCCACTCCACCACCGTGCAAACGAGCAGCAAATTCTCAGTAGAGTCAGCTCTGCATGTCGGGCACCTTGACGATGTTTTTGTGAAACTCTAATATAGTCGTGTGTCTGATCGGGCTGGCAACTTTTCAACCCGTACGGGAGTTTCCGACACAGGCCACGGGGGTCTGTTGCTGTGTTTGAGGTGCAACTTTCCCCCTTTAATCCCTTTGCTGCTGTTAAATAATCCCTTTCTGCTTGCTTTGCTGCTTTCTTCGCTGTAATCCCTCTGCTTGAATAAGGACAGAATAGACGAGCAGGATGGGGAGCACAGTGTCTCAGACTGTAGAGATGGATGGCTCTGGCAGTCCGTAAGCCTCCTTTCAATCAGCACAACCACAATAAAATCCATCCATCCGTATAATCCTGCCAGTTTGCGCCGCCTTTTCCACAAAACGCTAAATTATATTAAACTGAAATATCGAGACTAATGAAAATAAGACAGACAAATGCTTCAAAGACATAAACCCAGAGAGTATGTGAGATGATGGTCGTGGTTAAAAACTGAAAGGAAAATCTCTAAACTTATCTGGGATCTAACGAGTTCAAAGCATTTAAAAGTACCGGCAATATTTTGGCGCTTGATTTGGGCCAGAACCTTCTGTTCTGGAGGCCTGACTTTGGTCTGAACGCAGACACACAATCACACTTTCCACAAAGGTTTTTGGAATAAAGTGATGAGCAATCATTAAAAATCCACTCGAGCATACCACCAAGACTGTAAATTAATTAGAAACAGGCTTCCCAAAACAAAATGTGTTCATCGCCAGTAGATTGGCTATAGAAGTCGACGCCATGCAAAAGTTTTAAACCGCCGCTGATTTTTATTTTTTGTTTCCAATGAGTCAGGCTTTCTTGGAATCTTCTGATGCTGCTTCAACCAACAGTTCTTTAGGTTTTTGTGTGGACTTTAACTGCTTTTTCCATTCATGGTCCATGCAGTCTTGCTTGGAATCCTAAAAAAATGGACAAGTGGTAAACAGATGAACAGTATCTGACATATTTATGAAATAATTAAAACTGAAGACCTAAAGCAAAACCAGCGGGATCAGTTTCCCTTCAGTTAAACTTTTTTTTGTTTGTTTTTTTGGTGGCAGAACTATCTTGTTGAGATTTGTTAATATTTTTTAGTTTAAGTGAAAATAATTGTGAACAAACTATCTTTAAGTTAGGCTTGCTAATATCTGACGCTAGCTAGCTACTTTAGCTTGTTCCTAAAGATCTGGTCTGTGTGGAGCCAACTGTCTGATTTAGGCTGCTAATATTCGAGATGCTAGTTAGTAAATTATGTGATAACTAGCTAGCTAACACTTTAGCTTGTTGCTCAATAAATGTGTTTTTTGTGGGAACAAACTGTCTTTGAGTTAGACTGCTAATATCTATTCATTTCAGTTTATATAGCGCTAAGTCACAACAGAAGTCGTCTCACTGCGCTGAACGGAAACTATCTAAAATGCTAGCTAGCATATTAAAAGTTGGCTAGTTAGCTACTGCTTTAGCTTGTTCCTCACTAAAGGTTTTGTCTGTGTGGAGCAAACTGTCTTCATGATTTAGGATGCTAATATCCAAGATGCTAGTTACTAAAATTATAAGCTAGGTAGCTAGCTTGTGCTCAATAAATGTGTTTTTTGTGGGAAAAAAAATTGTCTTTGGGTTAAACTGCTAATATCTACGACAGAATTTTAGATGTAAATGGGATTTTAGGACATGTTGTGTAGATGCACTGATTCATCCTTAACTTATGAACAATTCAGTTGTTTTTTTTTAAACACAGTTAAGTAGCAACAATAAAAGCATCCTTCTGAAAACGGTGAAATACAAGAACAGACGTTGAGTGAAAACACAGCCAAACTTCAAATAAAATGTTAAAGACCTTAAGGAAACCTGAAGAATTATTGCTCAATACCACGTTTAAATATCAAAAGTCTGCTTTGTGTTGCCTCCCAGTCATTCAGGTACACAGACCTGTATGTTGTAGACGTTTTCCTGCTTCATCGTCCCTGCTAGAAATAGTTAACTCCATCAGGTTGTTGTTCTACTTCTTCACAAACCTGCTAATGGGCCATCAGTTTGAATCAGAGGTTTCCAAGAAGGAAAACTTTTCAAACATGCAAGTAAAACTCTCCAAACACCGGGTCTGGGAATCACAAATTACATTATCGTATTAACTGGCGCCAAACTTTACTATG